AAATCCTCAGGGAAAGAGAGGGCTCTCTTTAGCTATCTCTTTCTATCTACTGTAATCTACCAATTGCCCTGCATCTCCCTACGTAGTGGAGATAAAGAGATACAAACATGTTTGCAGTCCATATCAGGAAAGCAGCCAAGGGTGACAACCATGGCTCTCTCCATGAAAACTGCGGAGTGATGTAGCCACCCAGGGACTGGAAGTGTATTATTTGCAGGATTACCAGGTGAAAATAAAATAAAAGAAGCTTTAAAAAAAAAAAAAACAAATGCAGCCACCACACCAAGGACTAGTAAACTGTTTTATATACATTTTTTGGTTTGGGGTTTAGATAAACTTTAAAATTGGAGCATTTTTCAAGACAATGTTCAAAAGAAAATCATTTATTTGCTCACTTTTGGTTCACTGGAATTATAATAGACATCTATGTTTCACCATACAATGGGCAGTCCAGACAGTCATGAATCTTTGTAAACTGGAAAAATCTGCCAGCCAGTATTCAGATCAATAGAAAAAAAAAAAGTTGTTTAACTTGCTTTGCAAATCGATTCATCCATCACTGATAGCAAACCTGAAGTGTCTGTTGGTTTCTTGGGATTTCTCGGAAAGGCAGTTCCCCATGAGATCTCCACAGCAAAAGTTTTAGGACTCATGTACTCTGCAGCTGATAACCCTTTGAGGACCAAGGGACGTATTTGTCCCATGTTTGTAATTGCGTGTATCATCTGATTAAGAACTTAAAACTCTTCTTTTTTTTTTTTTTTTGAGTCAAAATATTAGTTCTGATCAACAAACAACAAATGGATCTAGCCTTTTGCCAATTATTTCATGAAATGGCTTAGTTACAGCAACTGAAGTGTACGAACTTTAAAAACAAAAAAATGTATTCTTTTGACGTTCCAAAACCTTACGGTCCTCAAAGGGATAAACTGACGTTCTGGAGCTGTTCAGCATTTTTATTCCGCAGCCCCTGAACTCTCCCTAATGTTTTCCAATGTGTCCATGTACACATCGTCCTTTACAGGCAGTTGAGTTTACAGTCGTTTTTTTGAACTCAGAAAACTTGCGTTCAGCAGTCGATTTTATCAGCGTTTCAAACGCAAAACGCTGGTAAACACGTGTAAACGCAGCCAACTGCGTTTATAGGCGTTTGCGGTTGAAAATATTTTTTAATTCTTCCAGTTCCAAATGTTGTCCAGAGCCTTTTTTCATCATGAAAAATGCGTACAAAGTGTTTTCCTGGTACACGAATGGACCCGGTACACCATACTTTGAGGTTTTGCATGAAAGAAAGTATGTTAGACACTGCTGCAATAATTTCTGCACAGAAATCAATGGAACACATCAAAACACCACAAAAAAAAAGACAGTTAATCTCAACACATACTGCTGTCTCACATAGTCGTTTACAGGCAGTTGAGTTTAAAATGGGAATAAAATACATGAGCGCTAAAACAATCACAAGCATCCAAAGCACCAAAAAAAGCAAACCAAAAAACCTCCAGAATAATCAAAAAAACAAAGGGGTGCGGTGCTGAAATACCAAATAAAGTTCAAATGTATACAAACACATAAATTGCACTAAACCCAAATGTGGATATAAAGTGACAAAAGTGCAAAATGTAAAGCTAAAAGGTGATATTGGTGCGCACTGACAATGTGCTGAGTGTTAATAACTATACATAGTCCTGAAAACAGTTCATGTAAAGTGCTTAGAAGTGATGATCCATCTGAGGGGATCTCAGTAAGTGCTCCTTACAACATCCTGGTGACGTGCCGTGAAATTGTTAGGAATGCGCACTAACCAGATGCGCAACCTTTATGCCCATATATGTATATCTCAAAGATGTCTGCTGAAGATCTCCTGCAGAACCGGATCAGCCTGGTCTGGTCACAAACCAATAAGAATCCCCTTCCCCTGGGCAGTTTGCAGCACCTTAGGCCTCACTCCGGAATGGGCTCTGTACAGGTATCCACTCACAAGGAGCCAAAAAGAAGGAAGCCCATAGTGCAGTATTTTCAAGCAATATTTATTGAATGCAAGCTATACAACCAAGGTAAAACACTGACCATGTGAGATGCTAAGATGGCCGCTGGACCTCCACGTGGTTGTGGCGGCGTGACGTCACTGCGCACGGCTCCTCCTCAATGCATTTCAAAATGCTCACAAGCATACCCCTCATGAATACGTTCTTAGCACGAAAACCTTTTAGCTTTACATTTTTCACTTAGGTCCCTTTATATCCACATTTTGGTTTAGTGCAGTTTATGTGTGTATATACATTTGAACTTTGTTATTTGAGTTTACAGTAGTTACAGTTTACAGTGGAGTTTACAGTCATTTTTTTGAACGCATCAAACTTGCGTTCAGGAGTAGATTTTATCGGTGTTTCAAATGCCAAACGCTTGTAAACGTGGCTAAACGCGTTTATAAGAGTTTGCGTTTAGAAGCGTTTTTAAACTGTTCCATATCCAGATGCTGTCCAGAGCCTTTTTCATCATCAGAAATCCATGCAAAGTGTTTTCCATGCATTCAAATGGACCCGGTACACCAGCGCAGTCAGTTCCAGGTTTCGCGTGAAGGAAAAAATGTTAGAACGTGCCGCATTATGCTCATGATGGGATCCATAGTGAATACAACCAGAAAAGACAGGTCATCTCAACACATACTGCTCTCTCTGCTTCTGCTCTCTCTATTCCTCTCAAAATGTCTGAAATAGTTAATGTTTTACCATTTTTCAGTGCATTCTGGGCATTTTGGAAGGTCGCCTGAGGTTTTCTTAAAAAACACTTCTAAACGCAAACGTGCATAAATGCGGTATGCAAACGCGGCTAAACAGACGTTTTTTTTAACCTACGTTTTCCAGCAGTCAGTTTCCATCGTTCAGAAGAGTTTTCCAAACGTCCCGTGTACATGAGCCCTTAGGCCACTTCCACACAGGCGTTCCGTTTCTCAACAGTTCAGTCCATAGGTGAGCGCATCCTGTTGCATTAGGGTTTGCACCCCAAAGCTCAAACACACATGCATATTTATCTGATCTCCCTGCTGGCACATTATCTCCCTACCTGCAGTGAAAGAGTGACATAGAGTAGATTTTATCAGCGTTGCAAACGCCAAACTCTTGTAAACGCAGCTAACTGCGTTTATAAGCGTTTGCGTTTAGAAGTATTTTTAAACTGTTCCATGTCCAGATGCTGTCCAGAGCCTTTTTTCATCATCAGAAATGCATGCAAAGTGTTTTCCATGTATTCAAATGGACCCGGTACACCAGCGCAGTCAGTTCCAGGTTTCGCGTGAAGGAAATAAATGTTAGAACGTGCCGCATTATGCTCATGATGGGATCCATAGTGAATACAACCAGAAAAGACAGGTCATCTCAACACATACTGCTCTCTCTGCTTCTGCTCTCTCTATTTCTCTATAAATGTCTGAAATAGTAAATTTTTTACTATTTTTCAGTACATTCTGGGCATTTTGGAAGGTCTCCTGAGGTTATCTTAAAAAAACGCTTCTAACCGGAAACACTAATAAACGCGGTATGCAAACGCAGATAAACAGATGTTTTTTAACCTACGTTTTCCAGCACTCCGTTTCCATCATTCAGAAGTGTCCCGTGTACATTGAGCCTTATGCAGGCCATAGACGGTTCGTTTATCGCCCAAATTTTTGGCCAAAAATCGAAACATCGGTCGTTCTGTTGCCACCAATGATTACGAAAATCGAACGTTTTCGTAAATTTTCCAGCATGACCGATAAAAGAAACAAGGAGGAACTGTGAAAATCGGCCGATGACTTGCCCCACTAACGGTGCGAATATCGGACGATTATTCTTTCGGACGAAAATTCAGCCGATAAGCGAACCGTCTATGACCTGCATTACAGATGGGCTTCTCACTTAGTTTTACGATTCTGAAAAGCAATGGAATGTAGAGAGCTCCAGCCTTCAGGTACAAGAGCCTTCCTGTGAAATGATAAAGCCCTCGTTTCTTTTTTCCTCCAAGACGTGCGTCGTGAGCTGGGAATATCTTGTTAATGTTGCTCGTTGAAAATGTTATGTTGGCCTAAACTCGCATTTCATTAAACGCAAGCAACGCTTTTCGTAAAGCTGCATAAACATGAAAAGCTATCGCTTCACCCCCCCACCCCCCCCCCCCCCCCATCCACGCACACACACACACTTCTTGTCAGTAAATAAACTCCATCTGGGCAATCTTAATTAAAATTACAGATTCCTTTTGTTATTGTATATCTTCAAAGTGCTTCACAGTCACCACCGGCAGCCGAAGGGTTAAAGGAGCCATATAAACCATCATTCTTAATTAGCCGTCTTCTCATAATTGCTGGCAGCAATGAGAGCGCATGCTGAGTTACACTGTTCCGTGGTTAATAAGACCAACATCTTAAGAGGCAGTAATTACTCTTATAAGGCCAGGTCCAAGCTCAGACTGGGGGGGGGGGGGGGGGATTAAAGGGAAACTCTGCTTTTATTCCCCGCATGTCACGCCCCCTTTTCAGACAAATCTATGATGGACACACACAGAGAGGCCTGTGCGTCCCAGCTCAGGAAATGCTAACGTGCGTAGGAGAGAATGATGGTTTGAAGCAGTATTACAACCAAAACTGTAATATATTGCAGCTTACCTGTCATTAGATGTGGCGGCTGCATTTGTTTTCTTTTTTCAGTCTTTTTCCCCCTCTGTTTTCACCTGGTGATCTGGCCAGTAACATACCTCCTGTAGGTAGAGTGCCCCCAGTCTGGATGGAAGGAGCACAGGGGGCACCTGTAGAAAGCAGCATTGTCGGTCTGGGGGGATGAGTGTTAGACGTACTAGCAGATTTAGATGCACAGATTGAAGCCAAACTCCAGCTGTTACTTTACAAGCAATGCTGCTGCCAGCCTCATCCACCTTACTAACCATTCTGTACCTGCCACACCTCTCTGCCAATCCCTCCACTGGCCTCCACTCAGTGTCCTCTATCTCTCTCTGCCAATCCCTCCACTGGCCTCCACTCAGTGTCCTCTATCTCTCTCTGCCAATCCCTCCACTGGCCTCCACTCAGTGTCCTCCATCCCTCTCTGCCAATCCCTCCACTGGCCTCCACTCGGTGTCCTCCATCCCTCTCTGCCAATCCCTCCACTGGCCTCCACTTAGTGTCCTCCATCCCTCCACTGGCCTCCACTCAGTGTCCTCCATCCCTCTCTGCCAATCCCTCCACTGGCCTCCACTGAGTGTCCTCCATCCCTCTCTGCCAATCCCTCCACTGGCCTCCACTCTGTCCTCCATCCCTCTCTGCCAATCCCTCCACTGGCCTCCACTCAGTGTCCTCCATCCCTCTCTGCCAATCCCTCCACTGGCCTCCACTCAGTGTCCTCCACCCCTCTCTGCCAATCCCTCCACTGGCCTCCACTCAGTGTCCTCCATCCCTCTCTGCCAATCCCTCCACTGGCCTCCACTCAGTGTCCTCCACCCCTCTCTGCCAATCCCTCCACTGGCCTCCACTCAGTGTCCTCCACCCCTCTCTGCCAATCCCTCCACTGGCTTCCCATTGCCCAACGGATAAAATTCAAAACATTAACAATAACATATAAAGCCATTTACAACATCACCGATCTTGTCTCCAAATATCACCCAAACCGTACTCTCCGCTCCTTGCACGACCTCCTTCTCTCTAGCTCCCTTGTCTCCTCCTCCCATGCTTGTCTCCAGGACTTCTCCAGAGCCTCCCCCATCCTCTGGAACTCTCTACCCCAATCTATCAGACTATCGCCTACTCTGCTCACTTTTAGGCGATCTCTGAAAACCTATCTCTTCAAGGAAGCCTATCCTGCCCTCAGCTAATAATGGAATCTTCTACTCCTCCTACCAGTCCATCCCCCACAGTTATTACCTTTAGTACCACTACCCCCTCCCTCTTAGACTGTAAGCTCCCAGGATCAGGGTCCTCCTATCCTTCTTGTATTGAACTGTATTGTTGCTGTATTGTCTCCCTTTATATTGTAAAGTGCTGAGCAAACTGTTGGCGCGATATAAATCCTGTATAATAGTAATATATAAATCCTGTATAATAATAATATATAAATCCTGTATAATAATAATATATAAATCCTGTATAATAATAATATATAAATCCTGTATAATAATAATATATAAATCCTGTATAATAATAATAATAAAGCAGTTAAAGCTTTTGTTCCTTTGGGATAAAGGTTTTACATAGATAAATAAAAGCTGATCATTATAAGCCCCCCCCCCCCGTGGTAAATGGCTTGTCCCAACTCTCTCACTGCTACATCTGCAGGACAGTTTGTTCTATTGAAAAAACAGCAGACTTGCTGGCAGGATCACCAGGTGAAATTAGAAGAGAGATGAAAAGGAAAACTAAGGGCTCGTTCACACTTGATTGATTTCTAACTCTTGCCAAATGCCTCTATAGCGTTTGACATGCGTTTGGGAAACGTATTTAACGCTCCCCAAACACCTTATGTGCGATTTTGAGGTGTTTGAGGACTGTTAAAAATGCTTCCCAAATGCCTATAATGAAGTTAATGGTATTAACGCTCCGCCCACCGCCTCGCAAACGCCTGCCAGGAGCAGTCACCATAGACTTGAATGGGAGGCTTCAACTCCTCCTGACTCGACATGAGGGATCAGTTTTGCCACGATGCGACACTAACGCTTCAGCGTGAACAGTACTGTGTGCTGCCATGTGTAGAATTTTCACAGGCGTTTGAGGAGCGTTAAAAACGCTTCCCAAATGCCTCTCTAACACCTGCTAACAAAGCTAGTGTGAACTGAGCCTAATGCAGCCATCAGATCTAAGAATTGTTAAGCTGCAAAATAATAAATGTTTCCGTTTTGGGTAATACAACTTTAAAGCCGAACTCTCACCAATTCTTAGTAGAAAGCCAGTTCCCTTTTAGCATTTTGTAGTAAATTATGTTTGGTCTCTGTGGGGAAGCAGTGGTCTCTTTGCAGAGATCCAACATTCCTCCTACTAAGTCAGACCTAGAACCAGTGGTGCATTGAGGTTTTGTGCTGCCCTGGGCAACACAAAAATCGTCTGCCCCCACAGACCCTGACCAACACCACCCCCCTTCCCCCTCCTGCAGAGAAAGCCTGACATTGACCAACAATACCCCTGCCGGGAGAGCCTTCTACTAACCCCCCCCCCCCCCCCCCCCCCCAGCGATAGAGAGACGCTCATCTTCACAGCTCCGGACATCCCCGGGAACGAGAGTCAGGCTCTACATTCACCTTCAAGCAGCCCACAACCTCTCTCGGATCCCACCTGGTTCCCATGGTGCGCGTGTCCCTTCTTTCATCCCTTCTTCTGGTGGGAGGTGCTGCCCCCCTGAAAAATACCGCCCTAGGCAAGTGCCTTGTTTGCCTTGTGGTAAATACATCCCTGCCTAGAACTCCCAAGTTAGCAAAGAGCATGAGCTTTGCAGATTGCAGAACTATAGATCTGACCCAGCAAGGGGTGTGTTGGAAACTCTGCAGAGAAACCATTACTTCCACACAAGATTGAATGAGTCCTTCTCTGGCGAATGCTGGAAATGGTAAGGAGGATCTTGAATCTCTCTTGAATTCTTTTTGCTGCTTGTGACCCCTCCAGAGAGATTCCCCCGTAATTCCTGTCTCTGCTACACCAGAACAGGACTTTTAAAGCAGAGTTCCACCCAAAAGGGGAAGTTCCGCTTTAAAGATTGGTCCCCCTCTCCCCATTAAGGATTGGCACCTTTGGGGAGCGGGGGGGAATTTAACAGGTACCCACTTCTGCTGCGATCGCCTAGGTGATCGGAAACGGAAATTGTCCCCCCTCCCTCCCTCCCTGAAGTCTTGTGGGACAAGTGAAAGGTCCCAGAAGACTACAGGACCAATCATGAAGCTCAGCGCTACTCACGCATGCGCAGTGGGTACCCGGCTATGAAGCCGCAAGCTGTCACAGCCGGGTGCCCACACTGAAGATGCCGGCCTCCTGGAATACAGGACGGCCGGTGAAATGGGCTGCGGGGGACACACCACGGGACCGAGGGACAGGTAAGTGGCTGTTTTTTAAAAGTCAGCAGCTACAGTTTTTGTAGCTGCTGACTTTTATTTTTTGACAGCGTGAGTGGAACTCCCCTTTAAGGCGGCCCATACAAGCATTAAAATTTGGCTAGTTCAGCAATGAGCAGACAAATTTAGATCCATGTATGGGAAGACTGATTATACAGACGTTGATCTACTGATCAATTTTTGTACAAACCAGCCTGTTAGGTTTTTCCCGAATCAGTGCCACCAGCTCTGATCAGTGTATTCTGATGGCGGGGAAGTCTTCCTGCTGTCGGAATACAATGGCTCAGCAGGAGTGATTCCCCCCATCCACATTGCGTGGTTGAATAAAAAAAAAAAAATGATTAATGTATGGCCTGCCTGAGGAAAGGAAGACATGAACAGCATTGAAGTTGTGACATGGATACTGACCATTCCTCATTCATACAAACATCCTCCACAGTCCTGCAATATGAGAGTTTGATTTAATAAAGCACGGTATGCATCCAGCACCATGTGAACTCCGTGACATATTTTGCACCTTTATCACATACTGATAGGGTGACCTTATGAGTAAGCAGTAAATGTCTAGAAAGCTTCAAGGTATTTATGTTTTTAATACAGTAATGCCCAACAGAACGTTCAGTTTTATCAAGTACATTCCAGGTAAATTGAAACAAAATGAGCGCAGTGTCTTACAGTTTGTCTTTTTCTGAAAGCAGCCAGACCTGAGTAGAAAAGCCTCCCCCTGCCAGCATGTGGAAGAGTGGGACATTAACGTGATATTAAAATCAGGAGAATAAAATTCTATTATTCTACTGCTCTCAGCCTCCTCCAACTCTCCAAATCCCCATTTTTTTTTTTTTTTTGCTGCTGCTGCGATCTGCATTTCTGTGGCTATGTTTGTTCTCCAAGATCCCACTACTCTCTTCCAAAATAGACCTAGAGAGCATGGACTATGGGATTTGTAGTGTGCAGAGAGCAGTGCACTCTCATTGGAAGAAAAGGAAGAGGATCGGGAGCTCATGAAGAACATTAGAAGGTAGAAAAACAGTATGAAAAAAAATCATGAAAATTAGAATACAGAGCCAATAAGTAGTGGATGTGTGTGGATTACTTTAAAGCACATCTCCACGCAAACCCCCCCCTACACCACCACCAACCCTACCATCACCACCCCCCCCTACACCACCACCACCCCACCCCCACCCTACCATCCCCACACCACCACCCCCCTAACCATCACCCCCCCCCCCACCCCACCACCCCCATGTCCTACCATCACACCCCCCCTCCACTACCCCTACCATCACCATCCCCCTCCTCCACCACCACCACCAGTCCTACCATCACCACCCCATAACCTCCCCCACCATTTTTTTTGGGTGAAGATCCACTTTAATACTCCCACCATCTCCAGCGCTTAAATTACTTTCTGATATCATCGAAAGGCCCTCTGGCTCTTTATGAGGTTTAGTAAATGACGTGTATTGGAGGCGGGACCCAATGTAAAAAAAAAAAAGGTGTAAAAATAAGACGCTATACAAAGCGGAGGAAGGGTGGACAGGAGCCACTTTTCAATATATATATATGGGTGAAGATCCACTTTAATATCCCTTCATATGGTGGTAATCACCCAATGTAGTCTAGAGCAGCCTTTCCTAACCAGGGTGCCCTGAGGTTTCTTCAGGGGTGCCTTGGTAAAATGTCTAAAATTTGCCGAAAACGTGTATATAAGCCAGCGGGTGGGCAAGCCTGCCTTTTAGTTACACAAAGCCACAGGTTTTCATTGTGCACCGTTACGACCTTCTAGCCGCCAGCGTCCTGACAACCAATGACATCAGTTGATAAGGAGGATGTCAGCTGCTTGCACAGCATCCTAGTTTGACCCTCCCCTGCCCATTTCCATCAGTGCTGGGGTCACATTAGCTCAGTGATGGAGAAAAACTGAGGGAGAGGAGAAACATTGGAATACTAGTCAGTACCAGTGTGCAAAAGTGTATTTGGTTTGGAAGAATAAATCACCTCTAATGTTGGGTGTCCTACATGTGTGGATGTTGCTGCGTTATTTAAAACTATTAGAATAGTTTTTCACTTTTTAGAATGGGGTGCCCTTTCCAATTATGGACAGTCTAGAGCAGGGGTGGGCAAACTTTTTGACTTGAGGGCCGCAATGGGTTCATATATTGGACCAGGGGGCCGGACCAAGAGTAGATGAATGATGTGTATGTGTCATCCATAGTAAGTATAGTAATATTCCCCCCATAGTAAGCATAGTAATTCATCCCCCATATAGTAATTCATCCCCCATATAGTAATTCATCCCCCATAGTAATTCATCCCCCATAGTAATTCATCCCCCATAGTAATTCATCCCCCATATAGTAATTCATCCCCCCTATAGTAATTCATCCCCCATAGTAATTCATCCCCCATAGTAATTCATCCCCCATATAGTAATTCATCCCCCATATAGTAATTCACCCCCCATAGTAATTCATCCCCCATAGTAATTCATCCCCCATAGTAATTCATCCCCCATAGTAATTCATCCCCCATATTAATTCATC